AGACGCATTTCGTGCATCTCGTGCCGCACAGCTGCTTTTAGGCGTGTGAGTCGCTCAATCTCACGTAACATTGCATCTCGACACCGCTGCTCTTGTATACTCAGTAGCAACGGTTCTGGCCGTTGTTGTTATTTTTGTTGTGCAAATGCACTTCTTCCACACGGTGATCATTGGTGTTTTTGGTGCTGCTTGTGTATTTGTTATTGTTTATGGTGTTGGGGATAACATTCCCGATGCTGCGTTGATCGTTATGGACGATGTTCCTTAAGCTTTACGGTGTACCTCTCACTCTGCTGCTGTGATGAGATCCTACTGGCATGGACAAGTACACTCTGCAGCCCCATACAGGCTTATAATGATGAGCACTTCTGCTGCTGCTGCCCATACGTAGTGGAGGATGAAGAGGTGTATGGGATGGTGCTAGAAGCAGCCAAAATGAAGAGAAATGTATATGAGTGCATAGAGAGAGAGAGAGAGAGAGAGAGAGAGAGAGAATAGTGAAACCTCTTCCACTAATAATGGGGTGGGTGTTGGCAGGACTCATCCAAGTGAGGGAGAACCCAATGGCGGGATCCATTGGAGTCATCTCTTATTTTTTCCACACTTGAAGGGGACCAATTAATATGGATTCAGAAACTACTTTCATCAGCCACACCAGTACAATGGCTTAGGCGGCAGTCTTCTGTCAGCACAAAGAGAGATATCTCAACAATACAACACCGAGGCTAAGAAAGAAATGGATGTTACTAAACCAGCAGAGGGTAATTCAAGATAGGAACACTGCAAATACACCCAATAAAGAGAAATCAACACCAAAAACAAANACGCACCCACACAGAACTGCTGATACTGCTGCTGCTGTCTGCATCACCCTTCACATTTGGCATTATGGTGTTATTGCTGATTCCAAGGATAGGAGGAATTGTATTGGTGGTGGTGGTGGTCGTAGTAGTTGAAGTTGTTGATTCCTCATCACTTGGGTTATTGGATGGTTCACTCCCTGCAGGTGTACTGCTACCCCCATCGTTTCCAGTAGCAGAACCATTGGCAGTCTCTGTGTCTGAAGATTCGGGAGAAGGAGAAGTGGGTTGTGCTGTTGCTGTACTCTCCGCGTTGACTGCACCTTCACCTGCTGTAGTGTTGACGTTGGCTCCAGTTTGACCTCCAGATGGAGACGAACCATTACTCCCTTCCACACCACCAGCAGCAACAACAGGAGGAGGTGAAGGAGGGGCAATAGGAGGATGAGCAGAGCCATCACTATCAGCAAAAGCATTAGAACGACGCTGATCAGCACAATAAGTTTTAGTATCACGAAGAGTATCAGCAGTACGTTCAACGGCAGCATCAGTTTCATCAGGAGGACGACAATCATCATTACCAGAGTTAGAAGATGAAGAAGAACTCCCGGACGATCCAGCCTCAGCAGCCGCCACGCAAACATAGGCAACACTCATAATTAGAGCCAGAAAATACAATACACGTCGCACCTGCATCTTGACAAAGAAATATTCTTTTAGTTCTTTGTGGATCGTTAACCTGGACGAAGGAAAAAAAGAATCGTATAGAAGAAAAAACAACGAAATAGAGAGACACAGAAAGAACGAGAGAAAAAAGAATAGAAAAATAAACAGAAGTCATAAGAAAAACACAAACAAATCAACATAAACAATAAAGAAAACTTTTATAGTGGTAACTTTGACAATTAAAAGCAAAATAAAAAAAGGAAATAAAGAGCAAGACCAACTTACCCAGTAAACACTCAAACCACGACGAACACCAGTCATGCTTGAAATAATATGCAATTATGAATATAAATGCTTCATTTATTAGTTTTATTAAATTCCCAGAGCAAATCATCATCAGAGAAGCAGGGCACAAAACACACAACCACCCCAGCAAACAATAAACAAAGAAACAGATAGTAACTATTAGCCCAAGTTATCCAAGTAAAAACAGAAATACAACAACTATGGGTGTAAGTCTATATGTGTATATATACGCAATTATAAATATAAATTCATCTGTTATTATTATTTCTTTTCTTTTCACTGCAAAAGGCATTTCACTATCATTATCATCACAGTGCAAGCCCAGATGCACATACAGAGAGTCTCCAAGAACACACCCACACATACAATGGAGTAGCAATAATAATAATTATTATAGGATAAACACATAGAGAGCAAAAACACACACAAAACACATTAACATTAAGAAACAAAAAAAAGAAGGTAATCCCAACAGGTGAAAGATCAGTTAGACTGTAGTGTGGATGTAAAAAAGAAAAAGAAAACAAAGGATGACCTGAGTCACATCACCACCATCACTACAATCAGCACACAAGAATACAGGCCAGTGTAACCACAATCAGTAGTGGAACACGCACCCACACAGAACTGCTGATACTGCTGCTGCTGTCTGCATCACCCTTCTTGTTATTTGCGAGTTCAGGAGGAAGTGTTTTGGAGTTTGTTGTGGTTGATTCTGTATTTTCTGCATCACCTTCTTGGGTGCCTGTTGATCCAGTTCCTGCAGATGAAGTATTATTCTGAGTCGCCATAGCATCAGAAACATCGGAACTCCCTGTGTCTGAAGTGGGAGAAGAGTCAACAGAGGGTTCTGGTGCTCCACGTCCACCTTCAGCTGTAGGCACATCAACACTCTCCTCAGCAGTAGGAGATGTGGGAGTAACTGGTCCAGCAGGTGCTTGTGCAGGAGGAGTAGATTGTTCACTATCTTCTTGTCTTGGAGGTTGTACGGAGTCTTGACGACCAGTTTGATTTTCTGCGGGTTTATTAAGCTCTTCTCTTCTTTCTGGATCCAGTTGAGGTATCTCTTCTTCTTGCATCGCTTCTTTCTCTTTANGTGGTGGTGGTGGTGGTGGTGGTTGATTCTTCATTATTATTGGTTATAGTGTCAGTCTCGTTTGTTGAATCATCCTCTGCAGGTTTCGTAACACCATTAGAATTCTCAGCTTCAACAATATGTCCTTGAGAAGTTTGGTTGTTGTGAGAAGATTGAGGTTGTTCTGTTGTACCGCCGTGGGTGTTCTGAGAAACTGTTGAATCTGTATTAGCTGCACCTGAAGATTGTGAGGAAGAATGAACACCATTTCCTCCTGCATCTTGCTTCTCAATACTTTGAACAGTACCTTTAACGTTCACGTCAACAAGTGGTGAAGATGTTACAGTACTTCTTGTACTCCCAATATTCGTTTGAGGTTCTTGCCGTTCCGCTCCCTGGCCTTGTGGATTGTTGGCATTCCGCTTAGCCTGTACCTCAGAATCAACACCATCACCTCTTTCTCTTGTAAGGCTTCCGTCTTCAGCAGCAAGTCCACCAACACCAACACGACCTTCTGTATTTGTATCCTTTCCTCCACGAGGTCCTTGTGAGGTCTTTGCATTTCCCTTACCACTACTATCACCATCTCTACTACCAGGCTCCGCAAGAGATTCAAGTACAGAATCCTGATCAGGCTCACTAGATATCGGTTCTTTTGGTTGTGCGGACGCCGGTTTCTTTGTTGCGCAAGGATGTTTATCAGGAGAGCAAGACGTAGTATCATCTACGTTCTCTTTCATCGTAGTCTCCAGAGTCGGTTCAGCAGCTTGAGCCAACACACACACAAAGGAGGTGCTCATTATCACAACGATAGTGAGGAAAACGTGGCGTAACTGCATCATAGGAGAACTCTTTTTCTTTTCCTTTGTGAAATCTTAATTAACTGTACAGTGGAAACCCCAAAAAGAAACACGAAAGACAAAGAGTAACCACAACAATAGGACAAAACACAAACTAACAAGCAAAAAAGAAAATAAATGCAGTATCAAACATGTTAGGACACACAAATCGATTACCACTATCAAGACTCACATCGTAAAAACAAACCCTACCAGTTACAGAATGCAATACATCGCAATAACCTTAGTAAGAGTAAAAACAAAAAAAGCCCACACTCACAAATATCTCAAAAAAGGTTGAACCACCCAGCACAATCATCAAGCAAACAAAACATATATTAATTATTAGCCCAATTTATCCAGTAAACACAGGAAATACACCAACTATGGGTGTAAGTCTATATATGTGTATATATACGCAATTATAAATATAAATTCATCTGTTATTATTATTTCTTTTCTTTTCACTGCAAAAAACAGTTCATCATCATCACCATCATCACAGTGCAAGCCCAGATGCACACAGAGAGTCTCCAAGAACACACACAATGGAGTAGCAGTAATAATTATAGGATAAACATAGATAGTAAAAGCAAACACAATAACATTAAGAAACACAAAAAAGAGAAATCCCAACATGTGGAAGATTAGTTAGACTGAAGTGTGGATGCATCCAAAAAAGAAGAAAAGAAAACAAAGGATGACCTGAGTCACACCACCACACCACCATTACAATCAGCACACAAGAATACAGGCCAGTGTAACCACAATCAGTAGTGGAACACGCACCCACACAGAACTGCTGATACTGCTACTGCTGTCTGCATCACCCTTCTTGTTGTTTGTGAGTTCAGGAGGAAGTGTTGTTGTTGTTGTTGTTGTGGTGGTGGTGGTGATGCTGGGTGTTGTATCTGTATTTTCCACATTAGATGAGTTACTTTGAGGTTCACCCTCTGGAGAAGTAGTGCCATTTCCAGCGTTTGCAGTATCAGAATTATTGGCACTCACTGTCTCTGAACTGCTGGAAGAAGACGAAGAAGGTTGTGTTTCCTCAGCATTCGCATTATCTGCTGCACCTTCACCTGGTGCACTGCTGCCGCTGACTCCAGCTTGACTGTCGCCTTCAGTCGGAGCAGCACTCTCCTCAGCAGAAGAAGAAGAAGAAGCAGCAGGTGGAGCAGGTGCATCAGGACGATCAGAAGAAGAACCACCATTAGAACCACCACCAGTTCGATTCACAATAGCACCAGAATCAGCTTGTCCACTAGATGGACCTAGACCCTCTTGTGGACCTTTAGCGGTTGATGTTGGTAAAGTGGGAGCTGGTTCCTTTGGAGATGTGGGAGCTGGTTCCTTTGGAACTTTTGGTTGTGAACAAAGAGTTACAGAAGCTTCCAGGCAATTGGCTTCACTTTCACCATCCTTTTTAGTGCAGTGCTCCATGCCAGGTGGGTCCGCAGAGTCAGCATGAGAATCTTCAGATACTTCACGGTTATTTTCACACTTGGAACCACCCTTGCCTGTATTACGACAAACATCACCATCAGAATCAAGTGGGGGACTAGAAGGTGGACCTTCTTCCCCTTCAGAATCACCTTCGCTGTGGCCACTTCTGACACGATTAGCACCAAGTTGTTCTCTTTCTTCCAATCCTCCCCTTGTCCCTGCACCACCAAGACCTTCACCAAGACTGTTGTCAATAGTAGTGGACTGTCCATGAACAAGATCTCCATGAGGCTGCTCTAAAGTCTCCACACCAGCCACAGCACCCACACAAGCAGCACTAAGCACAAAGAGAAGAAAAAACAGCACACGATTCATCGTCACAATAGCAAGATCTGTTTTTCTTCTTTTAGGTCACCTAACTGAAGAAAAAAAAGAAAATAAAAACAAGCACCCAATAGTAAAGAAACAGAGAGGCAAAAACTATGAAGAGCATAACATAAGTAGCAATCACACATAACAAGGCCACCAGCTTAAACAAAAACAAATCAATAAAAGGTCACCAGAAGCACAGTGAAGAAACAAACGCAAGAAAAATGAAATTAAGATCCTGAATAACAGTCCCACCAAACATAGAAAAAACACAGATCATTCTGTATGTTTGAGGTAATACGCAATTGTGAATAAAAAGGTGTATCAGTTATTCTTATTTTTTTCTGCAGAAAACAGACTACCACAACCGTGCAGGACAAAGCACGCAATGACCCAGACACACCAAAAGCACAAAAAGATATTAATCATTAGCCTATTTACACAGTAAACACTGAAATACACCAACTATGGGTGTAAGTCTATATATGTGTGTATATACGTAATTATAAATATAAATTCATCTGTTATTATTATTTCTTTTCTTTTTCCTCACTGCAAAAAAACAATTCATCATCATTATCACAGTGCAAGCCCACAGGCACACACAGAGAGTCTCCAAGAAAACACACACACAATGGAGTAGCAATAATTATAATTATAGGATAAACACAGAGAGTAAAAAAACACACAAAACACACATTATCATTAAGAAACACAAAAAGAAATCCCAACAGGTGGAAGATTAGTTAGACTGTAAGGATGCATGCAAGAAAAAGAACACAAAGGATGACCTGAGTCACACCACACCACTACCACCACTACAATCAGCACACAAGAATACAGGCCAGTGTCACCACAATCAGTAGGGGCACACGCACCCACACAGAACTGCTGATACTGCTGCTGCTGTCTGCATCACCCTTCTTGTTGTTTGTGAGTTCAGGAGGAAGTGTTGTTGTGGTGGTGGTGGTGGTGTTTTCTGTATTTTCTGCAACATCTTTTTGGTTCCTTGTCGATTCATTCCCTCCAGATCTCATGCCGCTCGAAGTAGTTTCAGTATCAGAAGCTCCGGCACTCCCCGTTTTTGTGTTGTTGGGAGAAGAAGTTTGTGGTGCTCCACTTCCTTGGCTATCAGCACTTCCACCTCCTGCATTGTTGACACTATCTTCAGTTTGGTCTTCACGAACAGCATCAGCCGCATTGACATCTGCACTAGGTTCAACAGAATCGGCAAGTGCTGTATTAACAGCAGTACCAGAAGAACCGGAAGAGCCGGTCTCACCATCTTGACCATGAAGAGCAGCGTCACCCGTTTCAGCAGTTCCGTCAGGTGTACCAGAAATACCATTATCTCCATTTTGACTTTGAACTCGAGGTGCTGCGGCAGGAGGTGCTTCGGGTTTTTTAGGAGGAGCAACAGGTACTTTTTTCTCAGGAACAACTTCTTTTGGAACCTCAGGTACTTTAGGAGGAGGAGTACAATTACCAGTAGTACCCTCAGCAATACCAGTAGTACCAGAAGTAACACCAGCAGGGCACTGAGAATTAAGGGCGACAGGAGTACCTTGAAGAAGAATCTTTGTCTCACTCTCCGTATCAGGGACTTGGTCGGAAAGATCGGCGGCAGGCACTTCTTCAGCGAGGACGTGCACACACGCACATGAGAGCAGGAGAGCGAGGATACACAGCACGTAGCGCATCATTACCATTGCAATACTTCTTGTAGTAGTCTTACTTCAATCGCTTACAGAAAAAGAAAAACAGAAACAAAGAGAATAAATAAAAAAAACACAAGATAAGAACACATACCAAATCAAACAACACTCAACAATTACAGCAGAGACACACACATTGCAGAAAACTGCAACCATAACTCATATAGGGCCCAAATAAAGGGAACAACACAGTACGCAATAACAAACAGATAATACCAATTACCCCAAAATGAAAAAAAAAGAAATTAAAGAGTACGACCATCAAAAGAGTAAAACACAGAAATACAGAACAGTGTCTCATCCTGTAGGACCAAGCATACTTACAAATACATTTATGTGTATTCTTTATCATTTTTTCTCCCCACAAAACACTCCAACACACAATAAAGCAGGAAAAAGCACACAGCGCCCAAGAAAAGAAAACGTGAACAAAAACACATATTAAGAAGAGGACCAGCCGCACAGAAATAACTCACAGACCACTGAGTATGCTGGTCTGTTAAAGCAATTAGGAATACCAATTGTATTAACTTCTAGTTGTCCCTTTGCTATTATAAAACAGATTACCAAAACCGTGCAGGGCAAAAGCACAGACTGACCCACGCACAACAAAGCAAACAAAGAAACAGATATTAACCATTGATATCAACTTAACCAGTAAACATAGAAATATATACCACCTATGGGTGTAAGTCTATATGTGTATATGTAAGCACTTATAAATATAAATTCACCTGTTATTATTATTTCTTTTCTTTTCACTACAAAAAGCAGTTCATCATCATCATCACAGTGCAAGCCCAGGTGCACACACAGAGAGAGTCTCCAATAACACACACACACACAATGGAGCAGCAATAATAATAATTATAGGATAAACACAGAGAGCAAAAAACACACAAAACACACATTAACATTAAGAAACAAAAAAAAGAAAAGAATCCCAACAGGTGGAAGATTAGTTAGACTGTAGTAATGCATACAAAAAAAAAAGAAAAGAAAACAAAGGATGACCTGAGTCACACCACCACCATTACAATCAGCA